GGTGTTCATTATTTTGTCTTTGACAGAAAAGATGGTCATAAAAAGTGGGCATTACTAAAGAATAGTGAGGAACCTCTTTGTAAACCAGAATTAGCTTTAAGAAACTCTAAATAGCCAAAACAATCTTGAAAAAGAACCAAGTTGGAGGCCTCATACATCTTGATTTCAAAACATACTACAAAGTAACAGTAATCAGGATGGTGTGGTACTAGCAACCTAACTGGTAGACTAACAGAATAGAATAAAGACCCCAGAAATAAACTCCTGTACAAACAATTTTCACAAGGGTGCCACGGTTATGCAATGGGGTAAATGTTATCTTTTCAACAAATGGTGGTGGGAAACTTAATATTCACATGCCAAAGATTGAAGTTATAGCCTCACCTTATACCATATACAGAAATCAAGTCAAAATGAATTATAGACCTAAACTTAAGATGTAAAACTATAAAACTCCTAGAAGAAAGCATCAGGGGAAACTTCAGGAGTTAGATTTGGCAGTGAATTTGTGAGGATGACACAAAAAGCACAGGCAGCAAAAATAAACATAGAAAGATGGTACTACATCAAACTTAAGAACTTTTGTGTATCAAAGAAAACAATCAACAGAGTGAAAGGGAACCTGTGGAATGGGAAAAAATGTTTGCAAATCATGGATCTGATAAAGGGTTAATATCTTGAATATATAAGAAACTTCTACAACAACAAAAAACAAATGATTTAAAATGGGCAAAGGATATAATAAATAATTATTTAAAGAAGATATACAGACAACAAATATATATATGTGAAAATATGCTCAACATCACTAATCATAAGAGAAACATGATTAAAATCACAATGAAATATCATCTCACACCCATTAGGATGGCCCCCATAAAAAGAGCATAAGATAAAAAGTGTTGACAAGGATGTAGAGACATTGGATCCTTTGCGCATGGTTGCTGGGAACACAAAATGATGCAACCACTATGAAAAACAGTAGAAAGTTTCCCTCCAAAATAAAAAATGGAATTGGAATTATCATGTGATCCAGCAATCTCATTTCTTTTTGAGAAGGAGAGAGGGAGAGAGACAGAGAGAGAAACATCAATGTGTTGCTCCACTTATTTATACATTCATTGGTTGATTCTTGTATGTGCCCTACCTGGGATCGAACTTGCAACATTGGTGCATCCAAAGACACTCTAACCAAAAGAGCTACCAGGCCAGGACACTATTTCTGAGTATATATCCAAAAAAATTCAAAGCAGGATCTTGAAGAGATATTTGCCCACTTATGTTAATTGCAACATTATACACAATAGCCAAGAGATAGTAGCAATCCAAATGTTCATTGACAGATGAATGGATAAACAAAATGTGGTGTATACATACAATGGAATATAATGTAACCTTGAAAAGAAAGAAATTCTGTCACATACAACAACCAGAATGAACCCTTAGGACATTATGATAAGTGAAATAAGTTAGTCACAAAAGAACAAATATTGTATTGCTCTACTCACAAAACATCTAAACTAATCAAAATCATAGATTCAGAAAGTGGAAAGGTATTCACCAAGGCTGGGCGGAGAGGAGCAAGGGGAACTAGTATTTAACAGGAATAAAGTTTCAGTTTTGCAATATGAAAAATTTATAGAGATCTATTGCACAGCACCATGAATATACTTAACACTACTGAACTATATACTTAAAAACTACTTGATAATAAATTTAATGTTACATGTTTTTTATAACACACACACACGAATTAGCTGTGCAAGGTATAGTTTCAAAAAATAACATGTGCCTGGGCTAATCTTCTAAGTATGTTCTAATAAGTATATGTAATTCTGGAGTTGGTAATTCTGTTGTAACTAGCATTGGATTAATCACGTCTTTATGGCCAATGAGTAGTGCAGTACTGAGAAATTATATAGATAAATGTACAAATGTATGTTATATAAGTAAATGTAGAGATGGATATAAAAATCACTACATATGTCTTAGAAGTTTTATGCTGAATTTATTGTTTTAGAGAGAGAGAGAGAGAGAGAGAGAGAGAGAGAGAACTATTGGTTTGTAGGGGCAAAATATAATGGCAGATGAAACCAAAGTGAGAATGATTATTCACATCTTGGTGTGACAATTCCAGTTGGTTCCTGGGTGAATTTCATTCTGTTTTGCCTGACTTCAAGATTTCAATGTACATGGCTCATTAGTGCTTGTAGGCATTTCTATAATGGCAATTTATTACACTTTCAGGTGACAGAAGGTGTCCTTTGAAGAACTGCTTTCTGACCTCCTCTTTCAACCCACAACACCTGCCGAATGAAGTGGCCTGCTTGCTCCCTTTCCTGTTCCTGCACAGACACTGGAAGTTTTTGTGTACAGAAGGCGAGCAGGGCTGAAAAGGTTTGGCAGGAAGGTTTTTGCAGCCTGCCTGTCGAACTGCATGGATCAACAATTTCTCAATTAGAAGATAGACAAGAAGATAAAGTATGCAAAGCTTCAAGCAGCAGCTGAGGAAGATTTTGAGAACATCTGCTCAAAATCTATTTCTTTGTAGGTAAGTATCCCTTTTTATAACCAGCATACATAAAGCATGAAATTGGCTTACCCAGCCTCCTCCTAACAAGGGGGAGGCTGGTTAGATTTATTACTTCTTTGATGCAGGTCTGGAGAGAGTAGGGGGCGGGGTTGGGTTGTGGCATTGCCACTGGAGGTTCCACCAAATCCTTTGGACTCCTCTCTGAGGGAACATTTGTCTGCTATATCAAATCCATTTTAAAGATCATTAAAAAAAAAAAGAAAAAGACTCAATTCATGATGTTTAATTTTCCCCCCATGAAATTTATGTCTGAGCAAGAGATGCCATCAACAGAGAAGTTCTCTCTCTCTTAATTTTTAAAATTGATTCTTTGTGTATGTGGCTCATTCTCTTGAATTGTTCATTTTAAAATTTCTTTCACTTTAGGCAATAAATGCTGAATGAATTGTTTTGTTTTTATCTAGCTTCATTTTGTGTGTTCATAGCATCCAAAAATGACCAAATTGCATTGCTCTTTTAATATGTAAGACTGTAACTAACAGGCTTCATAATGCTCCCCTGTTTTAGAACTATAACATAGCCGACCAGTCAAACCAAATCACCAATTATTTTAAAATTGTATGAATAGACTGCAAAAGGAGAGCTGAATTCAAATTAGAGTTTCCAAGTACATGGCCAAATTTTAAATTCTTACACTAGAAAAGCAGGTTTTATTGAATAATAATTGCTTACATGGCATTGTGTTCATATTATTATCCATGCTAGAATATTTTGAAATCATCCTCAGTTTATTAAATACATACTAATCATATTTAGCCTATCACATCCAAAATGTTCATCTGGAATAAACATGTTTTTAAACTAATATATGAAAAAGGAAAATTTTCTAATTTGTGCTTTTCAATTTCTGATCCACTTCCCATGTACCTAAGCTGTCCTTTACTAAACAATCATGCAATCAGAGAATTTGCATACATTCCTGCATTTTATTTATTCTTCAGCTCTTAAGATAGTTTTGAGTTTCAGCTATGGCTTACACAAAATTTAGTCTTGTAATGAAGGAGGTCTATTATTCATGCAAGGCTTTCTATACCATAAAGAAAGGAAATGATTAGAAACTTTTTACACTCCAGGAGGGAATGAGATTAGGTGAAGATAGAGCCCTGCAGAGTTAAAACTAGTCCACGAGCAAAGAAAGGCTTAACAAATCACAGGAAATTTCAGGGTACAGTTAATCTATACTGTCATCTTTGGGTGTGCTATAAATTTTCATTAAACAATTAAGATCAAACTGTACTGAAACAACCTGGAGTCTTCAGGTTTCCTCCAAGAGACAAACTAGAAATTGAATCAATACAGAGGATTAATCTTTTCACCTACATTTGTTTATACCCAGAAGGGGAGAAAAAGAGCCCCGCCTTTACGTAGTTGCTACACTCAGTTCAGAAGCTGCCTTTATGGTGAATTATCCAGTTTCCTTTTCTTTCTTTTCTCTCCCACAGTGCCCTGCCTCCTTTTGGTCATTTCACCGTTCATTAGCACCTCAGCGGAAGAGGAAGAGGAAAAAGGATAGGATACTTGATAACAAAAGTGGCAAAGAGGTTTAGGAGAAGTTAAAACTAAGAGTTAAAAATAGATTTTAAAATTATCAATGTGTTTGACCCATGCTGGACCTGTCATTATCAGAATAATTAAGAGTTAGCCAAGTGACGGCATCTCTATGACAGTATCAGTACTGTCCCCAAGTCCATCCTTTCTGAAGTTGGAGAAGGTGTGGTTCATGAATAACTGGAATTTAGAAAAAGAAGAGACATGAATCCTTCTTTTATGAAATAAGGAGGTTCAAGTAATGATTACTATTATACAACCTGCTCTAAATTCTTTCTTAAAGACATTTCTCAAAAGAGAGAGATATCATCTAGTTGTATATTTGTGATTTTCACTCTAAGTTAAACTTCAATAAAAAAAAATATATATATATATATATATATATGTATGTATGTCTAAGAAAAGACACTGCAGAGTGGTGTGAATTCCAAATCCACAAATCAAGGTCAAAGTCACAGATGCCTAAGAATTTCAGAGTGTTCTATCTCACCCTCACGTTTTTCTTTGTTTTCGGAGGAAGCCCCCAAATTTTCTCCTCATTCTTTTCTGTAAGTGCCCAATTGCTTTTTTAGTTGGAAAAAAAAGGCAGAAAGAAAAGAAGGGAGAACAAAGGCCCAGAAGACTGAAACTAAGAGCCAGATGGTTAATTCAACTGTGAAAGGCAAAAGGGAATCCAGAAGACCACTTGGGGAAGATCATACTGGGGCCCTGGGACTGAAAAAATCAGGTGCTACGACTTTAAGTACTGTCTGACTGTGAATGAGTCATTGGAAAGCCACTTTTGGTAAATTTAGGAATCAAAGCAAAAAGTTGTCCCACTGCAGATAGATTCATTTTCCACAGGGCTAACCCAAAGATTATGGCTTCGGAGCCTGGGCTGTCCTTGTTGGAGGACACAATGCACCACAGATTTTTATTTCACCAAACAGACAGACTCCAGAGGTTTGTGGTCTTCCCGATAGCAGCTGGCGCTGGGCAGAGGCACAGCCTTGGGCCGGAGCTGCTGGCCACCACTCTACCCTTGGCTGTGCGTCCCAGGCAGCTGGGCAGCACCACAGCCCGAGCTTCCCATTCGGAGCAGACGCTACTCCCTTCTGGAAAGGCCACGGGAGCTCACGAGGGCTGCTCCACAGTACATTTGGGGTAAAAGGAGCTGGTTTAAAGGAAAGGAGGGAGTAGGTTTGTGAAAGGTTGGCTCCTTCTTAAATCTCTGGTGCCTGAAAGGGATAAGGCGGTGGCCAAATAAAAGGAAGGGATAGTATCCCATTTTGAGTAAGGAGGATTTTTTCATGAGCCCAGGATGTGTCCTGCAGATGTGGATTTGGCAGGAGATTTGACTCAATCAAGTGTCTCTTGGTTCCCACTTCAAACACACCTCCCCCAGCCTGTGTTCTGATCGACTCTCGGGACTCTGGGTGGGAGCCTGCCGCACCAGAGAGAATGAAAAGTCAGCCTTCTTTTGGTCTCCGCTTGTGGCAGATGCACAGCTGGTTGGTTGTGAGCAGGGTGGTGTATGAGGGGACAAACCATTGCTCCTTTGCCTCTTTGGCGGGGTTAGGGCGCGTGTTGGGTTGTGGTGGGTAGGGTAGGAAGAGGGGGAGCAGAGTTAGGCGGGAATATTGAGCTAAGCGCCTTATTGTGCGTCTTCAGCCCCCAGCGTCCAGCCTCCTGCTCCCCGCTGGCGCTGATGGAGAGGAGGGGGCGGGGGACGCCCAGCAGCACATGGAGCCCCTGGTGGCAGCCGGGCTGTCTCTTTAAGCGCTCCGGAGGAGCCCGGGCGGGAGGGCTGCGAACGCGTTTCCATGGCACCGAGGCTGCTGGGGCTGTGGGGGCTGCGGGCCGCCGGGCTCGCTCAGTTCCAGTCGCTCCCGGCCGTGCAGGGGCGCGCACCTCGGTGGCTCCGGTGCCTCGGCTCCGCCGTCGCTCCTCCCGCTCTCCCAGTAGCCGACACCGCCCAGGGGGCCGAGCTGCTACCACGCCCTTCGCGAGGAGACCCAGCGAGGACACCACCTCACCAGTCTCGGGAGCCCCGCTCACCAACTTCTGCCCGGCGAGCCCAACTTCTGCGGCGGGCTCGGACTTGCGGAGCGGGGATGGCACGCGGCGCGCAGCCCTGGTGGCGGCTGGAGCAGCTCCGCCCCGCCGAGATGACCTCCAGACTGTGGCTCTGGTGCTTCTGCGCCTGGGTGGCCGCAGGCTGGCCTCGGGGCAGAGCCGTACAGCTCCGGCCAGACATGTAAGTAGGTAGAGCCCGCGCGTTAGGGACACGTGGGGGTTGCTGGCCCCTCGGTGCCTCTGCCCAACCTGGACCCGCTGCGGACAGTGGGGGAGCCGATCTCTCCCAGAAGGGCTGGGGGGCTGGAGCTGCCGGAGAGCATCCAGTGGGGTCTGCGGGCAACCCTAGGTGGAAGGCGCGGGGTGCGTCCCCCGGCGCGTCGTCGGGTCTGGGTCTGAGTGCTTCCACCTGATTAGTACTTTCTCGGCGCCTGAAAGAATTTCCCCCCAGATTTGGGAGTGTGCGTGTGTGCACAGTGTGTGAATGCTGGTGAGTATGCGTATGTGGTTCAGTTAATTTCCTGATGGGAAGAGTAATTGGCTAGTAAGTCCCACTTTCTAAAAGGGTTGTGAAAGAACAGCGAGTTTTCTTGCTATGTTCTTTCCAGAGACAATGAGTTCAAGTACATGTGTTTCTTTCTTTTTGAGAAGTATCTCCAAGTTCGAAGGAGTGGATTATTCCACAGGTTTGATGAGAGGTGAGCCAGGCTCATCTGCGGAAGGGAAGAACTGAGGGGGATGTGTATGCCAAGGACTGAATGCCAGGCCACTAGGATACTGGCCTCCTTAGAAGAGAAATGAAGGGTGGGGAGATGACTCAAAGGCATTCTCTGAGGATGGGGCATGCTTTGGTTTCCAGATTACAATTGATTAAGGCAAGGAGATACTAATTATTGGCCACAATGTCAAGCATAGCATGATGCTCAGGGGAAGTCTGTGTTGACAGATTGCCTGGTCGCCTTGACTGGCTGAAGTTTGCACTGAATTCTGTAGTATCATGGGGATCACCATCCAGTTGTCTGAGAGCAGCTAGAGCTAATTTAGCTTTTCCTTTCTCCTCTGAGCAGCTGTGAAGAGACACCAGAGTATTTTGAGCATTTAAACAAATTTGTTACTTTGCTATTTCTCTGCTTCATCTTTTATTTTTTGAAATGTTAATATTTTTATAATAGAGAAATTTAGATAAGTACATAAAACGATCTATATCTTTCCAGAACTTGACTTTTTCTTGTAAGAAAAATACTATATTGGGGTCCACTCCATTTTCATATTTCATCCTTCTCATTCAATTTGCTGCCTGGTTACTAACTATAAATCTTGAGACATGGCCATGGTGTTAGTGGCATCACAGAACTTCTTGCCCACATAGTTTGTAAATACATGTTTGGCAGAAATGCAAGGAATTCCTGGGTAGGTGATTTCTCTTGCACTGATAAGATGTGTCTTGTTTATTCTGAAGAGAAGGTTGATTTAGACTTTTCTTCTCCAGTTTATCTCAGAAAACACATTTGCTTTGGATAGCTTGTGCTTGCATAAGCCTTCATTTCTTAGAAACTGCTTTTTAACAAGCTTGTTGGCTAACCTCGCTCTTACCTTTACAAGTGTCATTATTAAAGTGGACCCTGGGTTGCCTTATTATTTAGCCACAGAGTCACCCCTTCACACAAGACCAAGTAATTCCTTTGGGAGGTACTAAAAAATAACAGAAATATCACATCATTTTTTACATTGCTTAACTGTTTTATCTCAGGTTTCAATATTGACACTTTTGTTGAAAAGGCTGGAAGGATGACATTGCATTTTTTTTTAAAGGACACTGCTACTGGCAGCTCATTTATTTATCAGGTGAGATGAGATTGGATATTAAAACCAATATAAATTCTTGGGTGTTTAATAGAGATGCTCTTTCTGCGGGAGTTATTGCGATGACTCTTGGTGCTTTCTGAAATCTGGATGGGAAAAAATCCAATCAAATTTGTATTTAGTCCTCCCTGGCATTAGAATTAATAGTTTCTTCAGCAAGAAGCATGTTAGGATTTAGTGCTAGGTTTCTGCAGACACCTTTGCAATTGTTACAGGCATGTGGAATACAACTGTGCATAGCACTTGGCTTCCACACACTGCCTGTCTGTTAAATTAAAAAGAATTCTTCCTAAGATTTTTATTGACCTCTGAGGTCCATTATCAGTGAGAGCAGGCAGCTAATGAGGTGAATACCACTAATAGGAATGCATGAACTTATAGACTGGCACCTCTAGGTCATCAACACAGGTAAAAGTTTTATGTAGCCGATCTTATATATGAACAGATGCTGATGCCCGGTTAGAAGTGAAAAGAAGAAATGACTGTAGATAAATAAAGGTCAGCCTAAATTTAATGCATTGTATTTATGGTATATTCCTCTATAGGCAAGCTGATTTTCAAGGAAAATATTGTTAATGGATACTCCAACTCTAATGATAATTGATCTATCTGATGACCTTGTCTTATTACATTTAGGAGACCTTATAGAATTAAAGTTAGGCTGATTTATAAAATCAGTATTCCACAAAAAGTGCCTAAGGTCCTATTATGTAAGTTGACATTGGAAATCATAGTTAATACTTAATTTGTTTGAATTCTTACTTAGGTACCAGGCAAATGTCTAGCCACTTTACATATATTATTTCATTTTATCTTATAAAAAGCCCTACTAGATAGACACTATTTTCATCTCCATTTATGACGAAGAGACAAAGAAAAGTTAAGTTCACACTCCAGGAAGTCACAAGATTTGGGTCCAGGTAGTTTGAATTTCAGTGCTGGAGTTCTTAACAAATGTGGTCCATAACAGAACACCCAGGACCAGCTTCTGTTTGAAAAAAAAAAATTTTTTTTTTTTAAATTACTGACAGAGGTTCTCAGTGGGAGTAGGACTGAGTAAGTATTGAGTAAGTACCTTCCACAGAGTAAGTATTGAGAAACCTATGGATGCTTTTTTGAACATTTTGAAAGCTACAGGGTTCTCTTGGCATTTGGTGCTGGGTATGGAAGTGGGTTGAGATGCCAGCTGTCCTGCAGTGGTAAGATAGTTTCTTGTAAGGAATATCTGATTTCTCTCCTCCTCATTGAGACTCTTGATAAGAAATTACTCTGCTCTCTCATGCCTATATAGGTGTTCAAGTATAGAAATGATGGGTGAGGCTTAGACTGGGAATTGTGGAATGGGGAAAGATCACCTTGGTGATTGCATTATGAATTGGAGTGTTGTAACTGGTGATGGCATTTCGATAAAGGGATATTGAAGAGTTTACTTATGTTAATGGTACTCTGCAAATGTTTTCTAAAGGATTAAATAGAAGGAAATAAACTCTCCTCCAGATCTTTGAGACATCAAAAGAAAATGACTGGTTGTAACACACTCTATTAACATTTATCCTTTATAATGCTCTCTTGCAAACACTTGCATAATTATTGCATACAACATGATGGAAAGTAGTAAACACAGAAGTGTTGCAGATATCCCACAGGCAGAAGTGCATAAAGACAGATGCAGTAGCTTCAGCTTCTGGGGCTTGAGACACTTGGATTTCTCTGATACATGGGGGAAATTTTTAAAAGATGTCACCACTTGGTGACTCAGCAGTCTCCTAAACTGGTCAGGACATCTCACATCCATTCTCTAATGCTGGGATCCGATACAGGCAGTTTGACATATAAATCCAAAATACCAGGCCTGATAAGATAGATACTGTTTGTCCACTCCACCCCTACCCTACCCTACATATGTAGAAATACGTTGTGCCTCAGCCTTCTGTAGCTGATGTAGAAACTTGTGGTCAGAGTGGCAGAGATTTTGATTTCTGAAGAATTGATACATGGAGAAGTAGAGAAAGGCAAGAGGTTATAATAATCCAGAGTCATGAAAAGGAATTGAGAAACTGTTTCTTGCACCACACACCATGTTGGAATTTATTTCATTTTATTTTATTTTTCACTTTTCTTATGATAAAGCCTGAAATTAAGCCAGTTAGAGATGTCTAATCTCAGTACACTTTTAAGTCACAAGTAATTTAAGCATGGCCTGTGGTCTGTCATTTACTCCTGAATATAAATTAGTTCAAAAATATTTTTCTTTCTTATGAGATCAGCCACATCAAATGAGCATTAAAGCAAACTTGAGAAGGCTGTGCACATTCCTTATGGGCAAGGGATCATTTACAGCAATTTCTCTTTGTTTTATTTTTTAATTATTATTATTTTTTTTATCTTCATCCGAGGACACTTTTTCTATTTTTTGTTCAGATAGAGTGGGAGGAAGAGAGGGAGCCAGGCTCATCTTCGGAAGGGAAAGGGATGTGAAAGGGACACATCGAGTGGTTGCCACCCGCATGACCCAACCAGGGCCGGGGACAAACTTCAACCAAGATACGAGCTCTTAGCGGGAATCAAACCCGCTCTCTGGACTGCAGGCTGATGGCCTAACCACTGAGCAAAACCAGCCAGGGAAGCAATTTCTCTTTATTAATACCTTTAATTCTCACAACAATCATATGAAGTAGAACAGTATCATCTCTAGTTTTCTGAAGAGGACACTGAGACAGAGAGAGGTTAAGTCACTTGCCTTAAGTTTCATAGCTGAGAAATGGTGGGGTGGGCTTTGGGCCCATTCTAAGCCCAGAGCCCTGTTCCTAATCACTGTTCTCTGTGGTGGTCCCTCTGTCCTCGACCTCTTCTTCCTAGACTCTCAAATTACCAGCCTCTCTGGCCTTTCTTTCAGTCTCGGTCTTTTTACTTATATTCAGCAATAACTGACTTTCTCCTATTGCCCCAAGTAGAATGAATCCTTACTTCTGCCATGTAGTTTTAGCAGTCAACATTAATCCATACTTTATTGATGAAATGGACATTGTATTATATGAACGTTGTCAGGCTTCCTGTCCTTGGCTTCAGTATTTTTTCTGTATCTACCTGTACTTCTTTCTTCTGTGTCTCATGGGAAGCTATTTCCCACTCTTTGTTCAAGACAATCCCTTCCTTGTGTGTTCTAGATTTCATGTTTACATTTTTTTCTCTATCAGTTTTTCTTTTATCGCCAGTTCTTTCCTTTCTACTGTTATATTTCTATTCTTCCCCATGTATCCATGTCTCTCTTTCTGCATCTCTCTCTATTCCATGTTTTAGTATGTCTGCATTATGTTC